GGAGGGAAGCTCCACCGTGAGAAAGCGAGGCATGCACGATATTGCTCGAAACTCCTATGTGATAGCACGCTTTTGTAAAACCCACTGCCGACAAGATGGCTTACTCACCCCTCCCCCTACGCCGTCATAGTGGCTTGAAACAGACTAAATTTATTGAATCATCTTAAAACCCAAAGCCGGCAAAGTGGCTTCCTCACCCGTCCCCCTGTGCCGTCGTTGTGGCTTAGGATCTTACCAAAAATGACGAACACTAAATTTCCTAAAACCCAATGCCGAAAAGATGGCTTGTGATGACCCGTCCGCCAAAGCCGTCATAATGGCTCCAGATCTTATGTAAATAAGATATTATCTCAATCACTGTAGCTATCAAAAACTGAACTGCGTGCGCTCGTGGTTTGTTCATGCTCTCCCAACGGCCTACCATGGCCTACCCTTGATTCGGCACAAGCGACGATGACAGCAATGTAAACCAAGCCATGAGACAGAGCCACGATACTAGCAATACAACTAGTGTACATCACACCAATGAATATACTAAAAGCTTTATTGGCCTTCTGAAATCTAGCAGACTTCTTCTAGGGATCCCACTATTTCCTCCCCATTTCATCCTATTTCTACTGCCCCCCCAGGTAGGTTTTGCGGGATGGCCGGACGTGCGCGCTACAACAACCGCTTTGGGCCTGGGATTACCTGGCACTCGCGTCCGACAGCCTCACCTGCTATGCGAACCCATGCATGTTCGAGGGGTTTGGCCAGTTCGAGGAGCCGTCGACAGCGGCGCCACAACCGCTGCTGCCGCAAGGTTATCAGCATGCGGTTGGGCAGCAGAGCGGAGTCAGCCTCACCTTGCCGTCCGGCGGATTGGTTTACACCACGCGAGCAGGGGGCTGGGAAGGTGAGTCGCCGAAGAGTCATCCGAATGGTGGCCATACCAGAAGTCCCAGTCCCGCGGGAAGTTGCAATGAAGACTCTTGCCCAAGGCGCAAATGCGAAGTGTATCACATCGACCGTCTGGCATACATAACACTAGCGCGTATGACCGGAGACTGGCAAGTAAATGGAAACACAAATGACCTTGCGGTCGCCGCCATGCGCGCCCTTTCGGTGCCTTTGCGGAGCCGGAGAGGTGCCCGACCTCCACGAAGTCCTCGCCGAGGTCCGAGGCGGCCCGCCGCTCCTCGCTAGCCGCCTGCCGGCGCCTTGCGCCTAACCAGCCCGCAGACCGCAGCTTTCACGTGCACTGGGACCGCGGGCACCGTTCGAAAAGAGGCGTGCAAAAAAAATGACTTCGACCAGGTGGCTCACATAGTGAGGGAGACGAACAGTGCAGCTCGCGATGTGTGCTTTCAGCGGATGCCCATCAGCCGACGTCGCAAGGAAGCTGCAGCACGAGAGTAGCGCCCATGGCACTCCACGAAGATGGGTTTGTGGCGGGAGCTAATAGCTTGTCATGGACTGCCCAGCGCACCCTCTGGCGACCTCTCCTCTCCGCACGCTTGTGTACGCGAATGCCCGGTGCCGCGGGCGAACGGCCGCATCGGAAATGCGGCACGCCAGCTGCCGCGCGTGTGGCCAGCAGCAAGGCGTCCGGCGAGGAAGTTGCCGAAGGCTCGCGAGTGCGGCGGCACAGCAGCAACAGTTTTTCTGCCCAGGGGGTGCCTGTTGCACGCTTTCGCGTTCAGCCTCCTATACCCTTCACCTCCCTACGGGCTGCGAAACTTGCTGCCTCAGCAAGGTCAACCCCCCGCGCTCCAACTCTGAGCCAGCTGTCGGCTCGCATGGAAAGGCGCCGGCAAAGCTGACCCGAGCGCCTGATGCACCGACACTGCCAGCATGGCCCACCAACGCCAGACCCATGCCGACGAAGAGGCGCTTCGCACGGCTGGCGGAGCTCGCTGGGCACGGACACGGACGAGGTCTTGGAGTAATTAGCTGGTAGGCCCCGCATTCCACCATCTGCCGACTTCGCTCCCGCGCACCACGAGCTGTTGCGCGCCGCCGCTCAGCTCCGGGTCAGCGGCGGGTTTTTTGCCCGAGCCAGCGGCGACCAATTTCATACCCGAGCACGACGACAAGGTGTTGAGGGCCACCGCGAAGCTCCGGGAAAGAGGGGTGTTTGGCGACTGTAGCACGGTCCCGTCGACATCCGCGGGTGAGGGTGATACCAACGTGGCATCACAGCGCAGCGCGCCACCAATGTGTCGTCAAGCGGTCGGCGCTTGTATGTCTGTACGCCGGGCGCCGCATGTGACAGCCGTTGCTCCTGTTGGCTCACACCGCTGTTCGTGAACGGATGAGGCAGGGGCAGGTGCAAGGGACGCCACAAAGCGTTGTGTGTAGCTTGTGGGGCCAGCACGAGCGCTGCCTCGCCCGAAGCCATCAACCACACTCCAGTGTGCGGCCCGCCTTGCGACCGTGTAAATGCCCGGCTGCAATGAATGCAACAACATCCGCTCGCCAACACAGAAATGTTGGAGCACGCATCGCGACGGGTCGCGTGTTGCTGCCAACCATTTTCATGGAGGCTAAGAAGAGAACGGGCTTGACTCTCAAATGGCTTGGTCATGTCTTGGCGTTTGAGACGCAACTGCAAGTTTGCAGGCGCACGTTGAAATCGTTGAAGCGCTGAACACGGAAATTCGTCAGCGAGCAAGGCGATGCCTTAGCACCTGCGCTGTACTTGTTCGGACAGCTGGAAATGTTGTGGAGTGCAGCGCCCGCCTTGCACGAGGAAGACCTTTTCATGGCGTCTTGGACGATATGTACATCGTTACAGCCCTGGACCACGCGCGGGGAACGCTCGCTGCCAACCTCGGCAAAATGCACATCATCGCGGCTGAGGCTGGCCTGCACGGCCCGGGATAGCCGAGCTGGGCGCAGACGTGTGGCGAAGGGACAAGCCGCCGGCCCAGCGTAGGGGTGCTTGGGCACTGCGCGCACGCTGGCGACGTGAAGGGTGTGCACTGATGGCGTTGCCAGGGGCGTTCCCTTGTCTCAGCATCGGACGCGCCGGTGACCCGGCAGCGGGCTTCGCGCAGCTTCATGGGAAGCATTTGCCAGTTTGATGGGGGCGACGGGCCTTGGTTGAGAACAGCCGGATTAAACACAGAAAACGTCGTGAAGCGTAAGGACGGGATGGCAAATATCGCTGATGAGGTCAGAATCGTCCAGCTGTAGACGACAGTGCGTTGGCCTTGTGGCTGGTCACACAAAGCCCGCGTGGCCGCTTCGCCAGTCGGGCCGACATGAGACTCGAGCAGTGCAGATTGTACTGCAGCTGTAGGTTTATTTTGAGGGCCCCCGCAAACCAGATCAAAACAGAACAGCTGCCGGCACCGACTTTCAGCTCATGTTCGCCGGATTGTTCACTGTTCCTGCACAATGCTCATACGATCTTATAGCTAGCTGTTGGCCCTACATCATTTGCGGAAGGCATCAGTTGCTGGAGTTGATGTTGGCGACGCGATATGACGCGAAGCAAAATGTCCTGGGAGGGTCCAATGTAAAACAAACGCTTGCCCGATCTTGGACTTCATGATTCATGATCTTTGGACTTCATCGTCCATGGTGTTGGTATGGACCAGCCACCTCAGCTTTCAGTTCAAGTTTCCTTTCCAGGAAACGCTTCTATCGGCGACATCGATCCCGATACTCGATATTCAATCGCATCGCCACAGTGATTATTGGAATTTTGAACTGCAGCGAAAAGCTCCTTGCTGACGCTGATTGGAGGGATGCACTGCGATGTTGCTTTTTGCCCAGGACAGGAGCTTTTGAACGGCTGACTCTTCACTGCATTCCCAGTTCTCACGACAGACCTGTGAAGCGCACTTCGCAGCAGCGGCGGTAGGCCTGCAAGTGTCGCCCCAGCTTATGACTCAGGATACAATCCGCGCCTGAAAGAGGCGCGCATGACACGCAAATCACAAGGATCCCTTTGTTATCAGCCTATTTGCTCACCAGTTTGTAGCGTTGCTAACTAAAAAAGCCCTTGCCCGTCTTTGCTCGATGCCGGGGTAGCAGGTAGCTGCGCATCAACTTTCTACAAGCGCGGGTATAGGGGGTTGCACGACAAAAAACCACGGGAACTTAGCCCAATCGCGGTGTGCCATTGGGTTTCCGGTAATCCTGCTGTAACGGCATCATGTAACACAAATTTGTCGGAAGACGGGAAACGCCAGGGCACAGCAATATTTCTTAGGTGATCAAACTCACTATCACGTTGCAGTTGCTAATCACCCTCGGCCCGTTTAAAACTCTAGAAAAACTGCTGAAAACGCCCTGAAAAAACACATGGTGAAATCTTTTTAAATCCATAGAAACCTTATTCCTAACACTTGAAAAACCTCTGAAACCTTTTGAAACCCCATACAAACCTGGAGGGGATTTGGAAACCAAGTCCGGAAATTGTTTGGGTTTTGGGGCTTGGCCAAGCCGGAGGCACATTTGGGCCAATACCGGGCCGGGACACCCGAGGGCATAGTAGGGGCACAGTTAGGCATCAGTATTTATATAAGAGGAATACCCCTCTCCAATGGTGTAGGCAAGGCACTGGCTACGCTGTGTTCGATCTGTGTTATTGCCATGGGGGAACTGAAAAAACACGCATACGTCATAGTTGCTCTGAAAGTAGTGAAACAATGCTAATCCCAAGTAGAGGCCGTTTTCCAGGTACCATGTTGTCTCGTTGAAGCCGCTGTGCCATGGGGGAACGGAGTTTAGGCTGAGTTCTTTTACTTTGGGCTGAACGGTGTGCCATGGGGGTGGGCTGAGATCAGGTGTTGTGGGCTGAGCAACCCCCCGTAGGGCGAAGGGCTCTCCGCATCGTTTTGGCTCAGACCCGGTCCTGAACTGTTCCACAAAAAGATGGCGAAACAACCACAAGACACACTTCAGGATTCAGGATGTTTTCCAGGCGCCCCAGTCTTGCTCTTTCGCTTTCGGAAGCTCCTGGTGGCCTCTGTACAGCTTGCTACTAACGGACCAACCCCTGGCCAGTCTCAGCAAGTCAATTTCTCCCGCAACTTGCAGATGGCTTCCTCAGGCTCAGGCACGCACAGACGCAGAGCGACAAGCGGTGACACTCCTTGGAGCTTCTCTTGCAGACGACTGACGTCATCAAGTGGCACCGTGCCGGTGCGGCCGTATGCCAAGCAGATCTGCACCAACGGCTTGGATCGTGCGACCATCTCCTCTGTTCAGGAACAAAGGAGATACAAGTCCGTGGCATGCGCTCTGCATGAGCAGTGGCAGGCCTGCTCCAGGTAGGCATTCTGGACGACTTCGAGGGGAGGGCACGCCACCCTCAACAGTTTGTCCTGGGCCGTCGCACTTGCGAGCAGAACCTATCGACTCGAAGATACACGAAGGCTGAACGGACTGGTCAAAGCTGGCTAAATACCAAGGATCGTAGTAATGATCTAACATGGAACTGGATCCGCCGCCGGAGCTCTGATACCTGCCAGATCATGCGGGAAACACATCTCCTTGCTGAGTGCAGCGTAAACTTCCGTTTCAGTTTGCCTCTGGAAGCGTTCGTCGGTGGCAAAAGCCCAAACTTCCGCCTCTTTCAGCACTCTCTCCGGGAGTTGGATTAAACGGATTAGCGCTTGTCAAGCGGTCGTCCTCTGTCTGTGGCCGAGGTGTTTCCGGCACGACTATCGGTCTTCCCACTTCCTGGTTGAATTGCCAACAGCCTCGGCGAAATGCTTGCAACTGCCTTGTGCGGCGAGGACATGGAATTGCCAAAGAGCGGAGGATGCCAATCTCACCAGTTGCCTGAACACGGCAAACGCCCGAGCAGCCCCAAGCACTGAGCGTGCAGTGGACATTTCCCGAATGCAGATGCAGCGCCCGTATTGTCAGGTGCGCCTACAAACTCTAGCCATGAGCCAACGGCAAAACTGTTGAAGATCATAGCGAGCTTGGCCCACTTCTGAACCCTTCCAGCCTTATCCCTCGGGATTTATCGGAGCTTGGGAAGGTTCGCTTGGACTTGCTGCGCTGAGTCGTGCTGCGGCCCGGCGAAAAAGGAAGGCTTACAGCTGGTTCCTGGTGTTGCCTGGGCGGGATTTTTGGCCGAGGACGTCTTTCGAGCCGCCTGAGTGTCCCAGATCCCTGTCGATTGAAGAAACCGGCACTGTGGAGTTGCGTCGAGCGATGCTGAGAAGTAGAAGTGCTCACAGCATGTTCTCTGGCATCACTTCGACCAATCAAGATGCGTTCGATGAACCGCCGCGGAAGTAGCCGCGCTTGCTCAACACGCTCTTGCAAGCTTTCGAGCTTCTCATTCCCAGTTGCTCCGAGGTTCCATGTATCACCGACCACTGCAAGAACAGCATCCAACGCGGCAAACGCATCAACAAGCCAATCATGTGCATCACAGAGACTGTACTTCACAGAACACCTCGAAACAGGCCTGAGGATGCGTCGAAAGTAACTTATCAAGGTCGAATGGAAAAAGCGCTTCTCCTGTTGTGTTCGCAACACCCATGCAAAGACCTGAACCAAACGCTTTGCAAGAGTTCGAAAGCGCTGGAGGGTTCGTGTTCCATGTTCCAGTGCTGTCGGCTGGCGGGCGCTTTGAATGCTCTGAGTGTCCAATGTCTTTCAGAACAGCCGCGGCGAAGGCGGCACATGAGGCCAACAGGCACGGACGCCGGGCAGTTAGCGTTCGGACGCAGCTGTGAAGTCTGCAGCAAGGAGTTCTGGAGCACTCGAAGACTCCGACGACATCTGACTTGTGCTGCAGCTTGCCGGGACACATGTGAGGCTCGGATGTCAAAGCTGTTAACGTTCACGGCGGAGATGAGGCAGCATGGAGACCACCTGTTGCTTGTTCTGGCCCTCGCCCATTCTGGGCAACATTGAAGCCACATCTTGAAGATGATACTGTTGCTATAGCTGTTGGGCCGTCGCATGAAGTTGCTGCGCAGAGGCTTATCGAGATCGTTGGTATCTCTTGAGAAGTGGCTTCACGGCCCCTTGCATTCGATGGCCTCTTTCAGGGATGATTTTGAGGAAGTGGCCCCTGCAAGACAGCATCCGTGGCTAGTGCATTTGGAGCTAGCCGTGCGACTCGTCCATCTGAGGTTTGATACCGGTTGCACTAGTTCTTGCTGTGAATGGCTTTGCTGCGAGAGCTGATGGCAGGCTCATTTGTTGGTAACCTCATTTTGACTCCTTTGCATGCTTGAATTCGTGCGTGCGCCATTCGGATCTCGCAGCAATGCAGAACAGAACAGAAGAAGCGTTCAGCGAAGCGAACCACCGCCGAGAGCTGATAGGAGTAAGCCCACTCCACAGTCAGTGTTGGTAGGCCTCGGCTTGCCCCACGATATCGGCCACCCCCTAAGCTTGAGACATGTTTGCAGGGATGGTTGGGCTAGCAAGGCCAGGAAGATTCCGATGGCGAGTGCGACAAAGTGTTGCGGTGCTGACAGTGAGTTCTGCAACAGTTAGGTGCACTTCCAAGCCGATAATTCCACCTTGGCAGTCTTCGGGGTGTCTGCCAACGCCTGGTCTTTTTCATTGCTTTGCCACAGTGATTGGTTTGTCGCGCATCCGTTGCAACGAAGGTCAGATTGGAACCGATTTGGAAAAAGTTAGACATGTAGTTCTTGTGCTGGCAGTCACCATGTTCTGCTATCAACCGCCGAAATGAAACACGAGAGATGACGACCATCCGCCTCCAGCCGGTCTGCCCAACGGGGCCAGAGGATTTCCGGATTATTCAGGGCCTCTGCCGGCACAGAGTTTCCATTCGCCGAACCTTGGTGCTTCCAGAGATTACCCCTCTGTATGGCTGCAGCAAGACAGTTCTTCCGTGGCACGTCATCTACTGGTTCCGAGGAAGTTGCAGGAGACCAAACCGATCCTCAAATGATCTGGACATGTTCTAGCACCGGGCAGACTGGAAAAGCCTGTGTTCGTCTGGCTTGCAGCTTGAAATCATGCGCAGGGCTTCGCTTACGACGTCTGCATCTGCACCAGCTGTCTGCATTATATTTCTAGCATTGCAGGCCTTGCAGGACATGGCGCTGAATTTCAAGACTTCAATCAGCAATGCTCAGGTCGGCCTCTGCGTCAGTCTTGAAAAGCTTTCCTTGGGGAATTGAAGTCCACAGCTCGAGTTGCAGAGGTCGAAGAGCTGCGGGGGATGGAAATAAGTGCAGTGGGACAACATGACAGTCGGTGACCCAAGCCAAGCAGCGGTCGTCTGCATCGTGCAGCAAGGCTGCTAGGCGAACAGCTTGTCTCCGGCTGGGCAACATGCACTTAGCAGCAGTTGCCAGCGCCTGCATGAGAAGCATTTGCAAAACAGCGTGAACTCTTTGCGCAAAGCGACTCTGTGAGAGCCAGGCCTTGTCAACATGCTGCAACACACGCAGAGCGTGTCCTAGACCATGGGATTCCGGAACCTCAAACTTGGCGAATAGGTCCTGCAGTCTCGCTCAAATGTGCCGGCGTAGATCCCCAAACGGGGAAAACTGCCAAAGATCATACAAGAAGTGAAATGCCTGTCATGCATCAAATCATCGGAGTGGAAATCGTGATGATAGATCCATGTCGTGTCGCGAATCCACGTGCATACTTCCTGTTTGTGCTTGTGTACATGACTGTCTGTCTTGTGTGTGTGTGTCTCTGCGTCTGTGCCTGTGTTTGTGTCCTTTTCTGGGTTTGCGTTCCACATGCAGGTGCGCATGTCTCCTTTTCTGTCTTGCTCATCTCGATAACAATGGTTTGCAGACATGTGGTCGCGATCACAAGAGGCCTGGCTTGGACGCGACCGGGCCTGCGCTGCTTGAGAAAATACAGGCATAGCGGTGCTCTTCCAGGCAAGGGCATGGCGACGCTGGTTCCAGGAAAAGTAGCTGCTATCAGTGCTTTTCAAGCGTCTACACCGCAAATTTCGGAAGCCTTCTGAATGATTGCTTCTTTCGCAAATACTCCAACTGTGTTCGAAACGCTATGGACCGTGACTACCTGAAAACACCAGTTTGGAGGCCGCAGAGGCCTTTACTCGAAAACACGAGCTTAGAGCTCTTGGCGAGGCGGAGACAAGACGCCAAGACGACACCCAACATACAAGCAGCACTGTGCAGTCACCCGGCCGGTGGAGCCTCCGGGAGGCTGCGTTCGCAGTCAACACCGGTTTGGCTCCAGGACTTGGAGACACGTGCTGCATGCTGCACTTATACTCGAAAACACGAGCGCGAGTTGGCGTGCGGTCGGGCTTCAATTGCTGATGCCAGGGATGTAGGATGACCGTGCTGTATGTTCGCATCTGCCGCCGAGTCATTCCAACAGGCCACCAGCAGACAGACTATCGGCAACGACCAAAAAGCACCAGGAGACAACTAAGAGACCACAGCGACACCAGGACACCACCAAAAGACCACCAACGGACCACGAGGACACCATCTGGAGAACACCAGGAGATCATCATGTGACGACCACTGTGATCACGATTTGCCCAACGTCCTCTGAAAATTGAAGGACTTGCCGACCAGATTTCAGCCGCATCCCATAAAGGATGCGGAGAGCCATTTTGGTGCGAACGCGGCGGCGCAATATCAGTTTGATTGTCTTTATCTCTCGAAGTCTGCAGTGATCAAATCTTGGAACAGTGTCTGCCTCGAGTGCTTCTGCAGCGGCATCAAGCAAGGGGTCTTCGGAAGCAACCTGAAATTGCAATCGAACACATCCCACTGCCTACACTGCCACACTGTATGGCAATGAGGCTAGGACACTGGCTAGGACCACAGGCTTTTCGATTCGAGGCTTCTTGCCTTCGCGAGAGTAGCAATTTGAATGAAGGGCGACGCTTCAAAGGCAGTCGAGTCCTGGTGGCGGCTTGCTCAGCTCGCTCAGCTCGCTCTCTTCGGGTTCGGGGCCCGCCATGGCAAATTGAACCACAGAGCGGCTGCGAGAGACTTGGGGCTCCCTAAAACAAGGCGACCTCAAGTCTCAAGTTGGCGATCAGGTTTTGCAAGTCTTGGCTGACGAATCTGCGGAAGATCCGAGGCTCCGCAGCTCCCGTTCTCGAAGCTCTGCACCCAATGCCACCTGGATCTTGGTGGACCCCTACCGAAAGCACTTTGGCTTTGTGCCATTTGCAGCTCATCGTCGCAGTACAAGAGCCCGCATCTCCTTCACCATCTCATCTTGGCGCAGCGTCGTCGGCAATCGCTGAACCGATGGAGGGGCACCAAGGGATTCTGCTGCGCACAAGAAGTACTCGCCGAAGCCGGCCTGCGAATCCGGCCTTCGAATCCAAACTCGAAGATGCTTCGACACCGCTTAGCCTCATGTGGATGAAGGAGAGGGGCACGGCTCCACACCTCTCTGTTCGAAGCAATCTGTCTGAAGGAGTTTGTAGAGGAGCTCAGCTGTGAAGCTATGATCACCTGGCCCCAGTCCGGCTTGTAGATTTTGCACCCATCTCTCCATTCTGGCATCAGGCCTTGCATGGAGCATCATCTGCAAGTCACTCAACTTGAACATTGCCGAGTTGTTCTGGGGGCTGTCTTCGTCCTCCCCACGAACCCGAGAGCCGTGGTGGGAGGAGCTGTCGTTGTCGCTTTTGCACCGGCGGTGAGGGCCATGAATCCGAGTGACCAGAAAGCGCAGTTCATCCAACATCTCCTCGGTACCTGAGCCACATTCACCGAAAGCCTTGATTCTGTCGACATCATGTGACATGGGTCCGGGTCACTGAACCCAGTGTTTGTCGGACCGTTGCCTTGCGCTTACCTTGTTAATACGAGGGTCGCGCGCGGATTCCTTCAACTTTTCGCCGACTATTCCGTCAACCACTGCCCGCGGATTCTGTCAACCCGAAAACGCGGATGCCTTCAACCTCAAAACCTGATTCCTTCAACCTCAGAACGCAGATTCACTCAACCATGTCCCCGGGAATGATTCCTTCAACCCAAAGAACTGCTTCGTTCAACCCATACACAACCTGATTCTTTCAACCCCAGCACGCAGATTCACTCAACCATGCCTGATTCTTTCAACCCCAGCACGGAGATTCACTCAACCATGGCCCCGGGAACGATTCCTTCAACCCAAACAGCTGCTTCGTTCAACCCATACAGAAAGAGCCGCTCCGACTACAGACACGCGTGCTACCCCAACCACGAGGATGCACTCAACCCTAACCACCCGCACCGCATTGCGACTAGCAGAAGCACGTCGGCGGCCGGCATGTTTAGGGCGCCGGTCATTGTTTAAGGGTAACGGCTGAATGCATTATTGAATGTGAGACTGGCAACAGAGCGGCCGTGATGCGTCAACACTGCAGGGTTGACGGAAACCGGGGGGCGGAGTTGACGGAATCAGCACAGTATGCGTTGATGGAATCGGGCGATGGGGGTTGACAGAATTGGCAATATCTGGGTTGAGGGAAGTGGGCGATGGGGGTTGAAAGAATCGGCACAGTCTGAGTTGAGGGAAGCGGGGAACATGGTTGAAGGAAGCGCGGTTGACGGAATCTTGGTTGACGGAACCCCCCGAAGTTGAGGAATAAGGCTTGTACCTTGTTAATACATTGCCCCAGAAAAGATCTAAGCACCTAGGCACGAACAGGGACAAGGCAGTCTTTCAAATAATGTTACAGCAATGCGGGATGTTCCGTGGTTTCGTCTATGCAGCAGTTTCCAAGGCATGTCCAGGCTGCTAAATGCGTCAAGGTCCAAGAACAGCATCACCACGTTCTTGAAGTCCAAATAGCTCTGCGAATGCAAATCTCCCGCAGCAAACAAGGATTCCGCGACTTCCAGGCTCAATCCAGCGGCCAAGGCTGCCTTGCAGAATTGCTTCTTGTTCAACTGCCCGTTTCCTCCTTCATCCATGCGTCTGAAGAGCAGTCTTGCACCCAGGAGCGCCTCGGATCGAAGTCCCGAGCCGAGGAGGCTCAGAAGCATCCGGAACGTCCAGCTTTGGCTGGCACGCTCTTTCAGCCGCAGCTCAAAGTGGGGGTGTTGAGGAATCCAGAGTCCCCAGCCATTGTTGGCATCAGCCTTCAGCATTGCATCGTAGGCGCTCTTGCAAGGACCGTGTGCATCTTGCAACCAAGATGTTCTGAGCACTTCGATAGCCTCAGGTCGCTGGTGAGCATGCCTGGCCATCATGTCCAGTACGACCTGCTGCACAGGAAGTGGGCATGCCGCCTTGATTCTATCAAGGTCACGCCAGTCCAACCCCTTCTCCGACAGGATGCGCTCTTGGACACCCCCGCGGCTGAGCTGCTGGTAGCACATGGGCAGTGAAGCCGACCGCCTGAGCGGACTGGGACTGGTTGTCATCGCTTCACAACAACCAATGCACGCTGTGCGAGAACTTGTCTTGTGTACGGTACTCGCACGTGGGCTATGATTCCATGATACTGGACGTAAGCAAACCTTCAAGCTATTTTTCCGGGTTCTTTGAAGTTAGTTCCGGGAGCCAGACCTTCGTGGCTTGCGCTGCTGAGGCTGGAAAGACGGCAACGAAGAAAGAGAAAATGTCCGAAGCATCCGCCGAGTCACAAGTTGAAGAATGGAAGCCAACCGGTGAGCAGCTCAAAGGCGGTGACGCCCAGCATGTAGACATCGCTCTTGGAGGAGAGGTTCTCTTTGGCAATGACCTCCGGCGCAATGTACCGTGGATCGCCCGGAGCTGCAACAAGCGCAGAGCCTATGCAGACCGTCGTGTGCCCGAAGTCGCACACTATGCAGAAGGGCGAACCGTCCGGTCGAACACCGCCGATGAGGACGTTTTCGGGCTTCAGGTCTCCGTGGAGAACAAACTGCCGGTGGCAGTAGGCCACGGCACTCACGATCTGCTGCATAGCTCCTGCCAGGTACACGATTGCTGCAAATTCCCGAAGGGGGACCAAAAACCAGTTGACTAGCACATGGTTGCATATGCTCCACTGTGTTGCCCGCACCCAGTGACCCCACCCTCGTCTTGTAGGCGGCTGCGCCAATCATGCTGGGGCAATGCCGGCTTCGCAAGCAGAGAAATGCACCAACCAAACTCGCCCACTTCAAATGAGGGATAGTGTGGGTCCGCTGCAGCCGGTAGCGGACAGAACACACACAGACGCAAGGGAGGGACCACCGCTAAGAGGGCAAACGGAAAAGACGAGAAAATGCATAACTAACCGTCGCGGCAGTCCCGTCATGGAAAACAAAGGCAGAACAGCCACCGGAAACTGCAAACTAGCTCCCCAGATGTAGTCTAAAAGATCTCTTGCTCTCCCTTGTTTCGGCTACAAGTAGCTGGCAGCAGGCCACCACCGTAAATCCTGCACTTTGCACTCTTGCGGACGGAACAAAGAGCTCAGAAAACGTCTCCTGCAATCCATGGCCCACCGTCGCGTTCCGCAGCATACGTCGACAGGGTGCCACCCGGCGCCAGCTCTGTGACAATGAGCACCTCACGCGGGAACTTCACGACCTCAAAAACACGCAGAAGGTTCGGGTGCGCCAATGCACGGAGAACGCTCACCTCATCTCCCGCCCCCTCCTCCTCCGGATCCAAGCGCTCCAGGTGCTTTACTGCAACCTGGCGGCCGCTCGAGAGCTCTCTCGCCTGAAAGACCTCGCCAAAGTGCCCAGCCCCGATGTGCTTGATCTTTGGGTATCTGCACCAGACAGCCTCCTCTGGTAAGCCCTCGACTTCGTGGCAGCATATCGTATTCCGATGCCTGCCGGCTGTTGCCAAAGTTATGGGGCATAGCCCAAGCAACGTCTGCTGGAACATGCGCACCAGCGACGTGAGCGTCTTCACAGGTTCCTCCGGTAAAGGTTTGCTTGCAGGCTCCTGGTACAGATGATTGCCAGTCACGCTGACGGCCTCGAAAGCGAGATCTTGAGAGAGCGCACTTGAATCATCGACGTCGCCGGGTCCGAATGGAGAAGTCAATCTCTCTAAGTCGCCGAATGATCCCTCAAGAAGGCACCCCACTCCGAGTTGCTCCCGCATTCCCTGGATCAACGGTGCAAAGGATGTGACGTGAGTCTTGCCTGTGAGGCTCACCTGCTTCACATAAGCGTCCTGCGCAATTGACAAGAAAAGGTGCGGCTCCCGCATCAGCAGCGTGAAGCGACGTAGCGAGCTCTTCCGCTCTGCAAACTCGGCTTCCAGCATTTGGATGTGCCGTGATAAGCGGATAGGCAGATGCTTCCGGTTGAAGACCGTGATGGCGAATGGCTTGCTGGCTAGTGGATCCCGCAAAGCCTGCCAGAACTCGTAGCATGACTGTGCCCAGCAAGTTGACCCGAGATCCAGGAGATGTGCCACTTCCAACATGTCGCAGGCTGCCATGCCGCTCCTTCCTTTCGCATGCACCGTCAAGGCCGAGTGGCGGAGCGGAGTCAGCTCTTGGACATCATCATCCACGAAGAGCACCTGGGAGCGCCCCTACTGCATCCCGTGATGTTCTTACCTGGCGGCATTACCAGACCCCCGGACACGGCCCCGGCACCTGCTCGCCAGTCAGATTGTGCATGTGCTTGTAGCGATGGACAATTTCCGTTTTCGAATCCCACTCACCTTCCCGCCATCTGCCCAACAAGCTCCACAATCGGTCGACTTCCTCTGAGGCTCCGCTGCCACTGGCCTCTGTTTCTTGGTCGTAGGCTGTCCGAGCACCGTACGCTACGCCGATGTTTCCATAGAGTGCTTCGAAGCAGTCGAGTAAGCCTCCAGCATCCCGCTTCAGAACACAAGAGAACCGGCTGCAACTACCTGCAGTCAAGAAGCCAACTTCTGCCAGGCACTTTCGCGCTACGCCGACGTATCCGCGAGTGACGAGGATGATTCTGCAGCCACTGGAGAGAAGGCCATCGAGCAGCTTGCGAATCGCTGCTACGCGGCTGAATCCGCCAAAGGCCTGCTCAATCCACGCAGGGCCCAGCTCTGCCAAACGACGAAGCTGACCACGCTCGGTCAGTGCATGTGGCTCCGAGACGACAATGCCACGCATGGCCAGCATGCACACTTGGGCATCCACCCATCCAGCAAGAGATTTGAAAACGTGGACGACGGTGAGTGTCAGATCAAAGTCGAAGAACACGATCGAGCTTGAAACTTTCTTGTCGGCAGACGGAGGCTCAAGCCGCCGGAAAGCCTGCCCCATCGAGGCTATCCACATCCACAAAGCCTGAGATGTTTTCCACTCGGCCATCGCGGAGGATCGGGACCTAGGACCAGGACACACACCTCCGCCGGGGTGGGGCTTGCAATTCGCCAAAGAGGAGCATGAGAGAGTTTGACCCAACAGGCTGGCGCGACAGCAATATGACTAGCCTCGAAAGATGTCGCATAGAACCATCTGTCTGCAAGCAGCTCACGCTTCGCACAACGTATCAGTTTGTTCCCTCCAATACCGGCTGTGGTTTGTGAAAACTTACTGCACTTGTCGCATGTGGGAACGGCTGGCGAGATTGCATCCTCAACGGGTCGCTGCGTTACTAGTACTACTTGCTGGCAAAACTCACCACGACTGCAGTGCAAGGTAGCTCGCATCGGCTCATTTCACGATGTACAGACCCTGCCACCGGAGTGAGCGACATGCTGCAGCGGCAAGGCTGAGCAAAGCGAAGAAGTGACAAGCCTGCCAGGCACCGTGGGAGGTATCAACGTATCAGGAGAGCAGCGTGATGGTCACCCCCTCGTTCTTGACAACCTTCAGGCACTGGTTGCATCCCACTGTGAAAGCAAACGACAGGGTTACGACTGCAGATTTCGCAGCTTGCTAGACGATCTTGCTTGCTTTCATGTGTTGCGACCGGCCGAGGACAATCACGGCTCGAGGGAATCACAACGCCAAAGCGACTGCAGTAGGTACGCATCCTCACCGATATGGTTGCCCCCCCTCCCCCCAATGAAGTTCCTCCCAAATACGCTGGTTTGGAGCCTCCGACACCTGTGCGGAGGGCCCTGTTCCACAGAGAGCCATTGCAACAAAGCCAAAACCAAACCACCCGACCATTCCACCTCTCCAGCTCAAGGCCCACGCCGTTCCACCGGGGGGGGGGGGGGGCGGGGTTGGGATGACCAATGGGGGAATACGCAGGGGTGCCACCTTGGCAGGCTGGAGATAAAGCATTCCAGCAGCCGCAACAAGCGGGGCTTAACAGCACATGATATAAGTTTCGCTGATTTGCTGCGACCCCTTCACAGCAGGACTTCACAATGCCATGACTCAGGCTCTACTGAGTGCTGACTGCCACGACTTCGTCGTCAGCCTTTCCCGACTGCATCTGACTGTGAGCTGTTGACTGAGCTCCAGGCGCAGGCGAGATGTCCAACGGTAAGGTTCACCGGCTTCTGTGCTGCCTGCACTAGGAAGCGGGAGCAGCTAGAGCTGGTAAGGGTCCGCGAATCAAACACCACACACACACACACACACACACACACACGCAAGATCATGTTGCACTGATTTGCAAACTTCTTCCTTCAGCCAGCTCGTGCCAGCATCGGAAGTCTAGAGACCATGCACTGCCTGGCACCGCCTAGCATTTCGGCGGTACCCCGTCAGATGCGCACACTTTGCAGCATGGACGGAGGCGAATTCACTGGTATGCACAACTCTCCTCGTTGCGGGACCGCGATATCTACACTTGTGTTGCGGCTAGACAGGGCCAGCAGGGCGACAGCGGTAGTATGCGCACCATGGCAGCTGTGAGCGCCTTCGCACCTTCGAGCGCGGTGGTTCCAGGAAGGGTGGCTCCGAGGTCTCTTCACTGTGAGAAGGGACGGCAGTTGATGCAGTTGTGAGCTCTGCCTTCAATGCAGAAATAGCGGCTCTCACAGGAGCCACCACCTGACGCACCCTTTCTGCAGCCCTGACCCTTTTGGAACCTTTCGGCTCAAAAGCAGACCACATCGTGAGCTGCTCGGCGAAGTCTTCCACGAAGATGGAAGTCGCAGCCAGCTGGCCCAATTCGAGTGCTTCGCCCGTCTTTCTGTCTAAAGCTGCAGCACTCGATGCAATGCAGCGGAAAAGCTCTATGGCGTTTTCCTGCGAGACATCAACATGCTCAGCCAGGCAATCGAACATCTCGAAGGACAGATAAGGCAGGACCAAAGCTTGGCTGTCCAAGGTGGAAGCATGGGGAACCGGAAATGCTTGGAACTCTGGCAACAGCTCTGCGAGCAGCGCTTCCAGACGCTGCAACGCCTGCAGCGGAGTAGGCGTGGCTTCGGCTGTTGCGTCCTTCTGGTCCTCGACATTGAACTTCTCCTTCCCGCGCCTTCGCCCGGCGGCCGCTGCGGCCGCGGACGCCTCCAACACCTGGGGCCACTCGGAGGCCACACGCTGCCAGAAGTCCTGGAGGCGAATGGCCGGTGCGGCCACGCGCAGGAAGCTCTCTAACAAGCTGCGAGTGTTGCCCTCTCCAAGCTGGAAGTCTGGAATCTCGCATCTCGCCACGTAGCGTCCGAGCTCAGACTCAGACAGGTCGGGGTTGGTCACGGAACGAAGCGCCTCGGCCATCGAGCCATTCCTGAGCAAGAGCCGCTGACGAAGGTCTCGCCAAGCAAGTTCCGACGGAATCTCTTCGAGGGCGTGTATAAACTGCGGCAGCTCGATCGAACCCTTACCAACGTGGTCCAGCAGGAAAAAGAGGTGTACTGCCTCGCGAAGCAAGTTTCTGAAGCGGTGGGGGAAGAGGACAAGTCTCGTGCCCTTGGGAGTGCGAGGCTTTGCGGCAACATTTACAGCAGCACGTCCGGCCTGGCTGGCAGTGACCCCCAGCGAGCTCACTGCTGCCACAAATTCTCGTCTCGAGACCTCAGTTTTCGATGATGCGAGAAGGATGACATCCGGGGAAGATAGGACTCCCCGGGCCCAGGTCACCGACGCTGCAAGCCGGAGGTCTCTGCAGCGAATTCGAACAACTCTGCAAAGTCTCAACCTGAATTCAACGATTCGTGTTCGAGTCCACTCTCGGAAAGCACCAATGTCGAGCTTGCAGCATTTATGGCTGGACATGCCGCCCAGCGAAGAGCTTCCTGGCCACCGGGCTTTATGCGCTGCGGCATCCAAGCACGTGCAGGACGTGTCACGAGCCTCTATCTCCGCAAAAGAGCCGAAGCGATCGAGCAAGTTCTGCCGAACTTGGAAGAGCGACAGGAGATCCTCCATTGCAGTCGCAATCGCGCGGTGCGAAAGGGCGAAAGGGCCACGGCCAGGCCTCGACCCAGTCCATGTTTCGACTGAAGCTGCAGACCGGAATGCTCCCATTCCCGGTCTCCAATACTGCCTCAGCCCAAACCCGTTGCAATGATCTTCGATAACATGCCAATGCGGGCTGAACTACATGGACTCAGCCCCACACGAACAGGCGCGAGGCCAGGTGTCGATTGCCATGCCGCATCAGGGATGTCACGCACCTTTGCCAGCTAAGAAAGCATTCGTGTCGGTTGCTGCAACTGACGTGCGCACCATTCGAACTCCGACTTGCTCAGAGGCTCCAGTGCTTGACTGCTCGATGCCTGGCAACTCTGGCAAAACGCACGCACGTACCGCAACGGACTGCATGGCAAATGCGGATCAGCAGTCAGAGTCAACACACTGTTGTCAGTGGACAGACTGCAGGATGTAGCAGACGACTTCCCAGTATGGTCTCCTTTGAGGTGTCCGATCCAAAGCTGCGCAAGGCCCAAGGCCAAGAAGGCGAGGAATTGGCGGGTGTGCGCTGGACAACGAGCTTCGCTACAGCTCGTGCGCACGACTCCAGTTTTCGGGTGAGCATCGCGAGGCAACGCGATTTGTGACAGAAGTCTCATTTACGCCCTGGTGCCTTGCGAGCACAGGTGCCGTGGGCAACTTGCACTGCCCGCTTCATCGCACGAAACCTTGGCTTCCAGCTGCCAAGCCACAATATGATTCATATGATTGAATCACTTCCGAATGACCCCTTCAGACTGAGGTAGCAGACGCCCTGGTCGTGTTGCCAAATCGTCTTACAAGAGAACTGCAAAAGGCAAGCACCTGGTCGGCAGCGGTGCCAGGGCATGCCGGCACAGCAGCCTTTCGATCTTGCCCGGAGCCTCACTGCGCTCGCGATCCTCGTCCTCCGACACCACATTCGAGGCGCTGCTGAACGGGCTGCCGGGCGAGATCCTCAAATCTGCTCCGAGAGAAGGCTTTCCTGCCTCACACAAAACGACTGAGGCCACGGACGGCACGGACGCGGCATCCTGACGGGGAAAGAAATTGCACCCGGTGACCTATAGTGCTTCTTGCATTTTAACTTTGGCGCCCGTGGCCCGTGGCCTGTTCGTGCGCCAGCCGTGGCAGCCTACGCAAAGTGTCTCAGAGACCGAGGCTGTGGATTCCAGTCCAGCCGCCTTGAGTGCTTCGATGGCGGAACTGGAAGCAGTGTGCTCAATACCTTGTCACACGCACACACCTCCTCGATTCCTGCTTCTTTTGCCTTGAGTGTTACGCATGAGTGACTGAGCATTGCTCGTTGGAGAGCATGGCAGTTTCTTCAACCGGTCCCAGCCGCCTCACAGCATCACGCATCAGCACTAGTATGCAGTGCAGCATGCTTCTTCGAGAAAGTGAAGGAGAAGTTTGGGAGACTGCGAGAGCATGGGAGACCGCGGTAAAGCCTCAGTAGAATCTCAGCGGACTTGCAATCTGATGAGCTCTCATTTCCAGAACCCGAGGCGATGGCATCTGCGCTTGGAACCACAGGCGCCAAATGCGGCCTCGCCTCGCAAATAACGGGAAGCCTTGCCGGAGTTGCTCCAACGGCCTGGTGAACTCCTCAGGCCTGCGCACCGTTGCGACACCAAGGTGGCACCTGAAGGCTCCACTTAAGGGTCCTACCGCGCTTCCCTACGCCTTACATCAACATGGCGGCCAGTCGCTTGACTTTTCGCGGATGGCAACAATTTGGCGGTAGCTTTGTGAAACAGGTGCCATTTGGTCCTTCTTTCGGAGCCATGCCGGCAGTCGGGCTCCCCAGGCTGCCAGACTGGTCCCCTGTTGTGCGCATCGTCCTCGACGTCAGAGGCTGTGCCAGAAGAGCATATTTGCTAGGCAGACCTCTCGAACCCCGCAGGCGTTCATCTTGGGACCCCTCCATGAGTCAGCATGTCCCTAAAGAGGTGTGCTACACCGAAGTGTCTAGTGCCTAGATGGCGTGTCGGCTGATTGGACCTTCAAAGCAGGGGGCCCAGAAAAACGCGAGGAACAAAGCCGATAACAAGTAGACTGATACAGTACTGAGTGCCTGAGGCACTGTAACTTGTGGGTGTCGCGTAACCGCAGCATACATGCCAGAACATTCAACTGCACTTCTTTACGAAATTTGCGACCTGGAGAACATGTCGGTCTGTGTATGCTCCTTCATTGCTCGTGAGAACACAGATTCTGCGGGCGTGCATTCTGCAGCGCTGCAGCATTGACTAAGCCAGCCCCCATCGCGACCAAGACCTGCTTCAAGTCCAGAAATATTCCGAGATCATCCAGGCAATGGAACTAGCGATCTGAGGCCGGCTTAACTTAACGGTAACTGAATGCCGCATCTGTCACACGGAAAGTTTGCGGACAGCGAAATCATCGTCAGCTGCGGGAATAGCTGCACAGAGGAAGGTCGGATTATCCGTTTGGCGAAGCCCCTTCCACTGTGCATCCATCTCAGCTCCTCATCATTTCCATGAACTCTTGGAAATCGATTTCTCCATCCCCGTTCGTGTCGACCTGCTTTAACAACTCCTTGGTTTGCAGTTGCAAAATGGGATCGCCCTCAGTCTTCACTCTATAGGCATCAGGAGGACGTATCTACAACCGACCTTCAAGCAAGCACATGAGTTCTGATGACACAGGCAAGTTGCTGCCAAATCCTGACAGGGGCAGGCAGACAGCAGACAGTCCAGCGCATTCTCGTTTAGCTATGCTGGTGCCTTGTGAAACTTGCCCTGCACGTCGTCGCTTGCCAGCACTTCCGCAAGCCTTTTCAAACACACAAACGTGAGGAGACAGACAGACAGACAGACAGCCCGGCAGGCAAGCAGACAGAAAGACAGACAGACACGCAGACAGACAGACACATGAACCGCTAGATAGAAACTTGTGCGCATTCATGCCTGCAAACACACACACCGACATATACACACACACACACACACACACACACACACACGCGCACACACACACACACACATGACACCTACTGCAACTGCCGAAAGTTAGCTTATGCACGTCTCTTCACAGCATCGCAGGCGCACATGACAGGCTAAGGTTGCTAAGGCTGCAGCTCTTTTTGGCTGATGGTTCCATTGCCATCGCGATCGAAAACACGGAAGGCTTGCCAGCATGCATCTTCCTCAAACTCAAGCCCGTGAGGCGTAAGCGTCAAGAATGGCGAAAGATGGCGAAAGCATGCGCGAGCGCTTGAAGCTCCATCGGTCCTCCATGTAATGCTTCCTGTCCAGCGTGGCAGCCTGGGCACATCGATGCATCAGCAAGCGATGGCAAGTGTGTCCAATCCAGAATGCGTGCAAACAGAGCAAAAGCAAGCAGAACAGCTTTCGGAGAATGGCATGCATTGCAAGAAGCAAGAAATTCTGTGTAATCGATAACGCCACTTCCATCAGCATCGATGCTTTTCATGATTTCCTGCGTGTAAGAACATAGAACAGCTGGACCAACTCGGAGATGCACACATGCCAGATGCAAGATCTTCAACCGATCCTGCAAATCCGCCGCTATGTCCATCACACCGCCCTTCTCCAAGCCTCAGCTGGCTGTTACATCCTGAAAGTAACCTTGGGCTTCAACATAGGTCTACGCTGTCTGAATGAACCAGTGCATCAAGTGACCTGCTTTGAGCTCGGCTGCAGTCAACAGACCATCCCCATTCCTCAGAGTTCGTAGAAGATGGGCAAACCACCATCTAGCAGTTGCTCACTTGCTCATGACTGCCGGACAAGACACTCGTCCAGTGACATGAAGGTTTCTTTGAGGGCCCTGGGCTGTTGCACTCGTACAGCAGCGCAAAGAGCAAAGGAGCATGCGTTCTGGGAACTTCTCGCTTCGTTCGGAACAGCTGCTGGATCTGCTTGTCATCGAGACTACTCGCGATGACTTGCAAGGCAGCTTTCCTGGCAAAGCATCGTTGCTGTTCCCTTTCTTTCACCCTTCCCCATGCTCGGCACCAATGCCTCCGATAAGCACATCTGCTACTCATTAATGCCACCAGGCGGCTTCAGCTTGTTCTGCGAAAGGAAGCCTCGAAGTTTGTCGACAAACCCGTCCTGACGGCACACGGATTCATGCAGCCATCATGAGGTCAAAAGCTTTGCAGGTCAACAGACAAGGAGTGACGTCGTGAAGTCTTATTGGCTTACTGTCTCTTTCCATAACAAGGATGCCTGCGGGTGCATATGGCGGCTCCTTCATGGGCTTAACGAGCTTTACGACGAATGCTAAGCCGCTCTGCATAGCACCAGGCAAGACTGCCAGCTTCCGCTCCCAGCTTCCCAGCTTCCCAGCCTGCAGGTTTACATCCTTGGCTTTTGGGGCCTTCTCTTTGATCCAAACCTCAGGCCGACTCCCAGGTAAAGGTTCTGCGACAGTCGCAGCATTGAATTGAAACACCACACATCACACGATGTACAGCACGAGGGGCATCATTCAATGCTTGCTCCGCAGTATATCGCTCCTTTGGATTCATCTGCAGGAGATTCTTGATCCTCGGCATCAGTTGGCAGAATAGATGCGTCATATGATCATAAAGTCGGTGCGATCATTCTGCCTTTCAATGGGTGGCAGTACCTGGCTGCCGAGATGCAATGCCTTTGCGTCATCAGACACATTTTTCCTCAGCTGCATGGTGTTGGCAAGCTGAGGAACACAGAAGCTTGAGGTCTACCTACCTCGGCTTCATGTACCACATCTCCGGTTTTCTTGCCCGTTTTGGACAAGGGAAGAGGTGAGCAATCCGCACCTCACGACCTTGACGACTTGACGAATGGCAGACGCATTGGGCCTGATGCTATGTTACATCATTTCATCACCTCGAGGTATTTAACCCGAAAACATGAAACCAAGCAACCGCAAAAACAGAGAAAGGTGCATCATCATCACAGGAGGATGGTGTCTTTTTTGGACGCACATCAGTCCACATCTCAATCAGAAGCATTGTGCACGTGCGCACGCTTTGCAAAACGACGGCTGAACCTCTTACGATGCCGACGCCAACTTATGCCGACACTGCCAACACTGCCAACTCATGCCATTTTGAATCTGTTCTCTCACTTGTGGGAAAAAAGCATTCACATGCAGGTGGGCTGGGATGAAGAGTTCCAAAATCCTGACGACACCATAGACAGCTTCGCTGGGCAGACCTCTACGGGCATCCTCCGCCCTCCTGCTTGAATTACTAATGCAAGCTCCAATGAAAACCGTGTGGTCATGGGTGTTCAGACACACACACACACACACACACACTTACTTTTCTTTCTTTCTGTTGGGCTTAGGGGTCACGTCGTGACCCTCAGGCCATCGGACCGCCCAACCACGCCATGTTGTTATGGAGTGGCTGGCTTTGGGGTCCCCACTGATGCAACAAACTACTTGGTTGGCTCCCTGCTTCTGGGTTGTCAAGCCCCCCCCTTTACGCCTAAGACCCCTACCTGGCCTCGTCTCCGCGCCCCTGTGGCACCCACCCACACACACACCCACACACCCACACTCTCTCTTGCTTGCACTCGGACAAAGGGCCCCCTCTCTTTTCTTTCGCCAGGGTTAGGGTGATGGGGTTTCCCCCCTCACCGCGCGCTAGTGCGCCCCCGACTGTCTCTCTCTCTCTCTCTCTCTCGCTCTCCTGATACTTGTAATTCCGTCGTGTATTGACCTCCCACCCCGTTCTACCACACCAAGCTACCACACTGACCCGAACTACGAAGCCCAAGTCGCCAGTCAGCGGGCTGGAACTTTACTTTTCCCTGACGCACCTGGGCACCACGTCGTTGATTCCACACTTTTTTCAGCCTCCAGCGACCCGGGCCTCGTCAAGAACTTCCTGATCCGAATCTCCATAAAAGGGCGGGTAGCCGCACAGCATAACGTACCTCGAAATACGGGAGTCACACGTAATCCCACGGTCCTTGGCAAGCTTGGCCGAGAAGCATGATAACACCCAAGCTCCACATGTCGGCCATGTGGTCATACTTTCCTGCCAAGACCTGACCAGCGCCACGACTCGGCACCCGCCAGCTTGGGAAACCGTCGCCTGCTTTCCGACAAGGCACCTGTGGTGCCACGTAATACGGGGTGCCAGCCTTTGTATTCAGAACCTGGACACAGGCAAAAATTCTGGGAAGGCTTGAAGCTGCCTCAAGAGAGGTCCATGGATGGCCTGCTCCGCCGTGAACTCCCGCGCCAGTCCGAAGTCGATCAACTTCAGGGTGCTTTTCTCGATGGCTTCCTGGCAATCAGCTTCTTGGTCCGTCCCCAGCGCTCCAATCACAAGTTGCAACCCTCCTTGGTGGTGAAGATGAAATTTTCAGGCTTGAGATCTCGGTGTGTGTAGTGGGACCTGACAAGAAGGACCGTGGCCAATCTCCGTACAAGGACAAGAAGACACTTCAATCACGCAGTCGGTTTGCAGCGTCTGTCTAGGTCTGGCACTGGTGCATGTAGTAGATGGCCCTGAACATATTCCTCGGAAAACATGCAGTGCTTTTCGCTTGTAAGCAAGCTAAAATTTGCTTCTGTACGCCATGCCAGCTGCAACTTCCAAAGCAGCTCAGCAAAGGTAATGCCGGCAATGGCAAAACGACCAGTAATAGTGTCCCTCATCTATCACTGCGCCCACGTCCATGCTTTCGCAGTCCCCTGTGAAGTTCCGAAGCTTTGCAGTCAGGTGTCTGCATCAGCAATGCAGCCTGCAGGCTTGAGGAGTAAAAACTGCCAGAACGTTGCCATCTTGGCCGTGCATACCGTGCCTGCTTTTCGGTCAGATGGCCATACTCGATGATTCGATCGAATAGCTCACCCCCAGTGCAAAGCTCAAGCACCAGGTAGATGTTGCCTCAAGTCGGAATTGCTGAAAGGTGTTCTCGAAGTCACGCAGCCGTTGACGCGTCTGCTCGGAACAGTTGCACAACGGCATGCTTCAGAGCGAGTAGCGATGATCTTGGAACGATTCATAGAGCTTGCAAATGTTGGGGTGGTCCAGGATTTTCATGATCTGAATCTCCTGTGACAAGCGGATGTGGCTTACAGGTGAAACCACTTTGACGTCCTGGCCTTTCGAAATGCTTCAGGACCTCGGTAAAACCATGCGAAAAGTTAAACGATGCAGCATGCGGGATGTGCAGTGCGAAACCAAGTTTGCAGCTCTTCAGGGCTGCTTTGTTAATGGTCTTGATCGCACGCATGGCTTTCGTGGCCTGGACGACATCCATTGTGACTGCGAGTTCGATGGGCTGGCAATTCATTTGCAGCTGCAGCCTTGTTTCGTGCTTTGCAAACAGAGCCATATGAGCCCTCGCCGATTTTCTTCTTGTCAATGTCGTAAAACTGGGTGATCTTGCCCTGACAGTCATGGCACTGGCAGCGGTTTATGGCAAGGCGGTGCAGTCCACAAGATTCAGCTCCACCTGATTGTCAACGATCAGGCTTGACGATGCAAAACCTGGCATTGGTCTGGTCAACTTGAGCTGGTAGTTTTGAAGAGAGAGATAGAGAGAGAGAGAGAGAGAGAGAGAGAGAGAGAGAGAAGAGGTTCAAATCGCAAATCATGGAGAGGAAGCCTGTTGTAGACTTCTTCCCACTACCGTTGCCAGAGTCCTCAGGCTGACACGAACTCAAAAGCGGAGTCTAGTCTGCCAAGGCAAATGCACTGATGTCCTTGCCACCTCCCGCGGAAGCGCCGCACCCCATGGCTGCAAGCGCTTCTGTGAAACCTGGGGGCCTTCAAAGGAGCCTGAGGCCTTTGTAGTGATCCTTGGACTTGCCAGTGATGTGCCTCAGGACCCTCGGGGCAACACAGTCAAACAACTAATGTGTTGAGCCCTGGCTACGCAAGCAATACACAAGACATTACAGCGCGATGTCACGGATGCAAATGCAGCACCCAGATAAGTGCCACGGCTCAAGAATCCTGTATGCAGCATGCAAAAGAGCTTAACCGCTGCAGTAGGTGTCTTGCCCACTTGGGCGGCGTCGGCATTCGGGGAGGCAAGCCCGCAAGGCCTTATCCAGCACCGGGCGGAGTGCGGCACTGCATTGACAGATGTGAGCAGAGCATCGCGCGGCGGAATTCCCGTTCAAACTCGCCAAGCGTATCCTCTGACCAGTCATCGCCCTGACTCGTCGCTGCAACAGGCAGAAGGAGCGCATGCGCAACACAAACCCCCGTCACTGCTTAAGCGCCAACTGATCGCAGCCATGAGTGGAACCCTGCGATTGGAGCCCCGCCTTCTGCGAGCCTTGGTCATCCGAGGACTGGCGGATGTGACCTGGGGCAGCAATTGTGATTCGCTGGGCCGATGGGCCGAGCATAGCTCGGCCCGCACTGAGGCACCAACATCCGCGAGATGAGAACTTGTCCGGCTCCTGAGGCCTGCACCATGTGATCGTAGCATGGCACATTCTCACCGTAGAATGCCTGCCCCAATTCCGGGGAGCGGCAGCCGAAATGGTCATTCTCCTGCCGACATCCCAGAACACAAGCATCGCCAAAAGCCCTTTACCAATTTTACCGACAGCCCTAGATAGTTCTGTTGTACCTGGATGTATAGGTGTCGTCACCTGTAGTTATTTTTTCTGTAGTATGTATCACACCCTCCCCCATGATCCACTGCGCAGTCTTCTTTCCCAAGATGCTTCATCCTAGAGTCCGAATCTATGGATATTTACGGTGTGTTCTGCGATTCATGTACATGTCTACCTGACTTTTTTATTCCTTTTATATCGTAGGTGAACAAGCCGAAACCGAAACCAGATTCCGGTTCTGGGTTCTGGAGTTTGTCGAACTAGTTAAGATGTACAGTTTGAATAGACACAGCTGCTCTTCTCTTCATAACATAAGGGGTAAAGACAACTCCTTCAGTGAAAGCAAACATGCCAGTGGTATGTTTGGCTTACTAGCAACAGTGTAACCAGACTACACAGAGGTGTTGCACATCAGACATGGAAAGGAACATCCATGTATCTTCATGCTTCAAAAGAACCTAGGACAACTTCATATCTTGAAAAATTCAACAGACAAGGGAAGCATGTTTGTTATTTTCAGGTGGTGTTGTCAGTAGAAATCTTGTTTCAGCACAAACAAACACAATAAGCCACCTTAGCCCCTTATCAGTAGCTGGAACTCAGTTGATGGAACTCAACGAGCTTTTACAGTATACGATTACCACAAAATCGGAGTGTTTAGGGAAAGAAATGCTTTTTCTCCACTAAACTCCAAATACATTCGGTCACAAGCAGAGTATGTCGAGCTTCCTACGCTTTATACTTCGTGGGAATTCAGACAAGCATGCATCTGGAAAGCATTCGTTATTCTTCTGAACACATGTGCTGTTTGTTCTAATTAAAAGATGCAAGACGATCCTGGCTCACAACACATAATCGAGCTCCGTTGCACCGCGCTACTCGCAAGAGTGATATAGCTCCTGCCATCTTTGAGTACAGCATGAAACAGCTCCAGACCTCTCCTCATAGCCTCCGAGAAATGGTGGGAACACATCTTTTCTCATTGTTTTAAGGAAAGCAATAAAACACCTGACCTACGTCTTGAGCAAGGTTGACCTTCACTCGGTTATGATTTTTCTCCACGCGAGAAGAGTTAGTACGGCCAGTAATCGAAGCAATTGAAAGCTCATTTACCAGTTTCCCGAGTGTCGCCTGAATGGCACCGTTTTTCCTGGTATTCATTTAAAAAAAGGGACCCCCAGAGTAATAAGGCAGGACAGTACTATTGGGGAACTCACTTTATATGTAAAGATATGAAATATCGGAGCTTCTCAGCTTGTTTGCAATATAAAAAACAAGAATTACTTGTTCTTTGTTCAAGCAACGGGCAAGAGTTTAAACGGTTAGCAAGATCTTACTTCGATGCAGAAACAAGAACTCGACCGTATCTAAACATGATGTACAGTTCAACGGACATGAGCATTCGCATCAAACGTTCTAAAGCATCCACAAACACAGGCAGGTTTCAATATCACAAAACACAGCTGTTCTTCTATTACTTTTAATGAGCAAAAGTGATCTCAACAACAGCTATGACTTTGTTCGATGAAAGAAGCTAGCGCACAGTTGGGAGCTGAAGCAATTGAATGCTCATGTATGAGTACACGGCACGGGTGTTCTTCTATGACTTTTGCATGTCAGGTTTCACGAATCTTGGAGATTCGAGCCTGGCAGTGTTTTCGCATCCCAAGTTGCCAAAACATCGCCAGGCTCGAATTTCCCCAAAGTTTGTGAAGCTGGAAGGGCCAAAACATCGCCGGGCTCCGATTTCCCCAAAATCCCAAAATCCTGGCATCTATGAGGTGTGCGGGGCCGTAGTTGCTGAGTTTGGGAAGTTCGGGGAAAGTGGAGCCTGGCGATGTTTTCGCACTTCCAGCTTTGCAAACTTTGGGGTCATCGGTGCCTGGCGGTGTTTTCGCATCCGAGGTTGGCAAAACATCGCCAGGCTCGAATTTCCCCAAACTTTGTGCAGCTAGAAGTGCCAAAACATCGCCAGGCTCCAATTTCCCCAAAATCCCCAAAATCCTGGCATCTATGAGGCGTGCGGGGCTGTAGTTGCTCAGAGTTTGGGAATATTGCGGGAAACTGGAGCCTGGCGACGTTTTCGCACTCCCAGCTTTGCAAACTTTTGGAAAATGCAGCCTGGCGATGTTTTCGCAGCTGAGGTTGCCCACCTCCCATGATCCACCGTTTGCAAGAAGCAGGTTCGGGTGGATCATGGGTGGGGAGGGGGGGGGTGAGCATTTTTTTAATGTTTGTTTTGATTTATTTGCATGCTTCTTCGCGAAGTTGTGTGTTTGTTTGTCCATGCCTTGTTTATCTGTTTCTCGAGCTCATGCTGATCTGCCTATCTGTCTACATATACGTATATATATATATATATATATATATATATATATATCAGTTACTACGATCGCAGACGTTCGATGCCCTCACTGAACAGACTATCGGCGATCGCACCTTTTTCCTGCGACCGCAACGTGGGAGTCGGCCACAGTCGGATCATCAAAATTTCACTTGATCTTCACAAGTCCGATCGGACCCCCGATCGCCGAGGGGTGCGCCATGGCATTCGCCACAGACCGCAACATCATCCGATCGGACACATCAGACAAGCGATATTCCCCGCGAACAAAATTAAAAGTCTTCGATCGGATCATCGGGCTCCGGCGACGGCTCCTCGATCGGATCGTCGTCGAGGGGGGCCGCGCCGAGCAAGTCGATCAACTGCCGCTCGACAGCACGAAAAGCTGCATCAGGAGTAGCTTTGGCTTTCGTCCGAGCGGGAGTAGCGCGAGAAGCCTGGTACGCCGCGATCTGGGCGGGAGTCGGCGGCGCTTTGGTCGGCGGACTCGAGCTCCTCGTAGGCACCATGATCTCGGTGCCGGGAGGGAGCTGCGTACCGGGCGGGAGCTGATCCAGCCGCCGCGGGGGCTGCCCCGGAATGACATAGTGAGCCGGTCCGCTGATGTGAACGTCAGCGGGCACGGCGTCGAGCGATCTGGGGGGCTGCCCTGGAACTATGTACTGAGCAGGCTCGGCGAACAAAGGAGAACGCCCTTTCGGAGCCGCTCGGCCTTGGCGTGGAGGACCAGCCTTGGGATCCACATAGTAGACCGGCTGATCCATGCCTCTGTTGCGATGAGCTTTGGCCGGGGGCGCTTTGGGCACCGGCCGCTGAACAGAGGGCACGCCCATCACTTGATCCCAGTTGAGGGGAGGATCTGCCCCGTGATCGTAGCCGGCCGGCTGGTGACGATCGCGATCACGATGAGCCGGCGGCGTGACCCAGGGGGTCTTTCGGCAGAAATGACACATATCCAGGCGACGATCGCAAGCCGTGCACAAAGGAGTGCGCTGGTTGGGAGCCCACTCTTCGCGGGGGACCCGAACGGCTGCGTAACATTCGTCTTGGCCGTCCCCGTCGCAGAAGCAGCCGGTGAACAGGCCGCAATCCACGCAGGGACGGCAGAGCTGATCTGTGTCGCCGAAAGCGAGCGCTTGAAGGCCAACGTCGTTGCGAGGATCCCGCATACCGAAAAGAACAGATAGGGTGGAGAGGGTGGGATTTTTCGGTATGGCCCGATCGGCTATCGCCAAAATGGCCACGGAGAAAATAGATCAAGTCTGTTCCAACGATCGCGAAACTGATCTCCTAATTCCTACCCACCAGACCGATAATTAGGAGACCAGTTACTACGATCGCAGACGTTCGATGCCCTCACTGAACAGACTATCGGCGATCGCACCTTTTTCATGCGACCGCAACGTGGGAGTCGGCCACAGTCGGATCATCAAAATTTCACTTGATCTTCACAAGTCCGATCGGACCCCCGATCGCCGAGGGGTGCGCCATGGCATTCGCCACAGACCGCAACATCATCCGATCGGACACATCAGACAAGCGATATTCCCAGGCCCTCAAACTCCTTTCGGAAAGTCCGAGAGGACCGTGATCCAACCACACATCAGACCTGTAGCGACATCACCACGAGAGGGATTATCCGCCGGGTTCGAATCGGTCGGTACCCGATCGATATAAACAGAGCACCTAAGCTCCAGAACAAGCTCCCAGAAAATTCCTACGAGCTCGCAGACGTCCTCTTTTGCAGAGTAGCCTTTGATCAAAGCTGCCTCTACAGGCTCGGAATCGATAAAGAGGAGGACCAGCTTTCCACGGATCTCTTCCCTGAAAGTCTGTATCGCAGCGACCGCGGCCAAAAGTTCGATCATGCAAATTTGGGTTTTCCGGGGGAACCACCTCGACATGATCTGCCGTGACACCCCCGAGGCGAATTGCCTAGGCTGATCGTCCCTAGTGAACATCACTCCTCCAATCATCTCAGAAGAGGGATCCTTGGGGTTCGAGCTCGGCGCCGATCCATCCGTGAAGATCACCACGTCGGACTTCCGCGGCCCCGAACTGGGGATAGGCCTCGGAGGCCCATGCATCACGAGCGTCCGCCACTTGTAGAGGGAGTAGAGGAGAGCAGGCGATAGGCTCGTACTGACCGTCTTCCGGGAGTATTGCCTCTCCGACAGAGATCTCAGGAAGGCTCGGCCGATCTTCCCCCAGAGCTGCGAAGCGCCGAACATCAGCTTTCCTCTGAGCTTCCCGGCTTGGCCGGGAGACATCTCTTCGTGTTCCAGGATCGACGAGATCTCATCGAAGAGCTCCTGCTTCCTGGACTTCTTGATCTCGAGCAAGTACTGATCGAGGTCATAGGTCACGCCCAGGATCGTGGGATCCGAGCAGAGCTGGAGCTTCTGCTGATCGAACCGGGCCCCGAGCCACCAATGGACTTTCTCGGCCAGCGCGAACGCACTATCTGCCGTGGCCTCCGGCTCGAAGCCGTACTTGTCGTCATAGAAGTTGAAGCCGGCCACGATGAACACGCGCCTTAGAATGTCGGTAATCGCAGCCGAGCGGCGGTTGTAGTTATAGACGGCCGAGAC